TTGGAGCCTCGTAGCTCAGGTGGTTAGAGCGTACTGGCTGGAACGAAGCAGCCCCCTTGCTGTCGTGGGTTTGAGGCCGCCAACTTTTCAAAATTGGGTTAGGTACAGTAATTTTGTTTATTAGAGGAAGTATTACGGTCCCATACTGCAGGGGGGAGAATATAAACGGTCACAGTGTGAGCCTGGAAAGAGACATAACTGCTTTTTTTCAAAATAAGCTCATTGCCTCGATGGAACTCTGTGTCACTTTCCCGCTAATTTTCCTCCACTAAGCCTTTATCTTGACAGTTACTTAGCTGGACAAAGTTTATAGTTTTTATTGTCTTCTTAGGATTGAAATTACCCAAGTAAGGTGAATTCTAGTGCAGCATAATGTCAAAACTGTCGTTTTTGCTTTCGGCTGGAAAATAACTTGTTCAAAAGCCGGAATCCTGACGTGATTATATCATCCTAGGATTACGCTGCATGATAGTTAGTAGTACAGCCTTAATTAAGTAATCTCGGTTAACGGAGAAGACATTTACATTTAATAAGACAGTACATCTAATGTAGTTTAAGTCGTGGAAACTGGTCAGGAACTGGCTACGGCCTTAGTTTATGTAAAAATTGAGCACTGACATATATTTCATGGAAAACCGGCCCAAGAATAATCTTCCTTGTACTTATTTGGTAGCACATTACTTCTTTTTTTTCTTCTACTTCTTCAAATTTTATGTCTGAAATGTGTATTTCGGTTTTAAGGTGCATTTACAATTCCTGAATCATTTTAACCCAATCTGCTTTTACTTAAAAGAATTTTCTGTGTAAAAAATTATACATTTGTATACGTTAGTAAGAAGTCGTCATTTAGGCTCAGACAATTTTGTACTTAATGTGTAACGTATTGTACCAATTACAGGCAACATAGATATATGGACAAATGCGATGCTTTATGATTGGGCATTTCAGTCTTAAAAATCACATAATTAGATTTATTTTGAAAGTAACAAATAGTGTGCTATTGAGTATAATATTTTAAGAACAATTAAGCCTCTATAAATAATTCAAATAAAGAATATTTTTTGTGTAAGATTCCTATACAGTGTATATATTTCAATTTCTTACGGTACCGAAAATAAATGGACATTGCCATTTTTTAAACAACGTAGTTGCCTTCAGACAGCTGGAAAAAACTCGTTCAAAAACCGTCATCTTAACCTGGCTGAGATATTATCTGCTTGGACCGCACCCTACTTAAGTATTTCCTTTGGAGTTGAAAACACATTTAAGACATTAGGTATACATTCCTCGAGATAGCGAACCTGCTGTAAGAAGGTTGAAGTTTCTTACACAGAGCCTGACTGCGGAGCGCGGCTCCAAGAAGCTGTACCTGCACGCGCTGCACGAAGACCATTCCTGTATGCTGGTGGCGGCGGCGGACGAACTGATGAGTATGCCATTTAAGAGGACTGAGACGCGAGTTTTGTTGAAACTCGAGTTTTATTCGGTGGCGGGACTGCTTGAATGACAGGCTTGCTTTTAATGCATGGAAGTCGGAGATTGACTGGCGCAGCGCTAGCGTGGGTGGAACTTCCAGCGGCAGGATAGTTTTTTTTCAATTGCACTCCCAGAGCCTGCAAGAAACAGCCTCCTTATGACCGTACGCCTATCCAGTCCC